CCAGAGAGTCCATTATTTTGCCAGCCACGGGAGCTGCCGCAAAGGAAAGTCAGAGGCAAGGGGAGGGTCTGAAGGGAACAAAGGCAATGAAGGAGCCCCCAGCCTGCAAGAAGCCCCCCCACCCCGGCTGCAGAGGGCTTTCCAGCACAGGGGTGTTCTTAGGTGAGTGGCTAAATTGGGGGGCAAGGGGGGACAAAGGGGGTTCTGCCTCCCCCCTGCCTGCAGGGGAGGCAAGAGGCTCACCCCATCTCAGCCCGCACTGAGCATCTCTCCGGCCACATGCACCGTCCCCCCATCCCTGGGAAACTTTGGGGCTCTTGGTTCCCCACCAGAGCCACCCCGATGCCAGCAGCTGCCCGGGGAGAGCCCTCCTGCTCACTTGCATACAGATCAGCCTCCTTAGCACCCCCCCCGCCTCGCTATTTTCTTTTTGATGCTTGATGTTGGCCAGAAGAAGCAGGAGCTCATCAGAGAGGTGTAAACAACCTGGTCTGGATGTGTCCCTGCAGCAACTGCCATGGGGCAGGGGCTGGCCCCAGGGCCAGTCTGGCACTGATCCCACTCCCCCCAGCCATCCCACAGGTGGAGGACCAGGGACTTGGCTGGTGCTGTGCCCTCACCTCCGCAGCCATGCGGGTGCCGAGGTCGCCCAGGGATGCTCAGGGTCCCCTGGGCTGGGCTGCGCCCTGGCACGGGGGCTGCCTGCCCACCCGCCTTTGGGGGAACCCACCCTGCCCTTTAGCACATACAGGGGACATGCAGCTCCCCAGGGGCATCCCCAGTGTCCTCCCTAGCCAACAGGCAGGGCACTGGCCTCACCACTCAGCAGACGCTGCAAGCTGCTCACACACAGGATCCCCCACCCCTCCCATTCAACCCTGCGTCCAAAGGGCTCCCCAGGGCTTTCGGTGCTTGCTACCTGCTTTTCCCGCAGGAAGAGTCCCCGCAGCTCCAGCCGGCGTCACAAGACATCCCGCGTCCCCATGATGCTCTTTCCCTGTCCACCCCACCACCAGCAACCTGCTCTGCAAATAGTGGCTGCTGCCCTGTCCCCCACATCTGCTGTGCAGCAGCCAGGAACACTTGGGGCAGCTCAAAAAAAAAAAGAAATTAAAAAAAAAAATCATGCCCTTAACAATTTATGTGATTAACTTATTTGGGCAAGGGCTGCTCCTGCAGCCTGGCAGCACCTCACCACAGACTTCCCCACCCTCCAGGCACTACCATGACTGAAGGGCCACGGGGCTCACTTTTTGGCCCAAGCTCTCACAGGTGCATTGCCAGGAGCCCTCGGGCCAGCCAGGCAAGGAAGAGGAAGGATCAGGCCCTCCACAGCAAGGTAACAGAGGAAGATTTGCAAACAGGTTGTGGGATCATTCCCCCAACCTCACCCAGACACCAAGAGCCCACCAGCTCACCATGATGCCTGTCTGCTGCATCCCTGCTTGACTTTGCTCCTCCAATTAGCCTTATAGCAGACGTGGGTGTAGTTGGGGGGTTCAGCAAGCTCCCCAGCTCTGCCACCACCACACTGCAGCACAGAGTGGAGCACGGGTGGGCATAGCCCTCCCAAAATGCTTCCCAGACCACCAGCTGGCCCCGGCACAAGCCAGAGTGACCCTGGGCTTTCATTCCACTAACAATGGGCAGCAAGGAGACCACACCAGCTACCGACTAATTCCAGTCCCTTCGATTCATTCCAGGCAAGACGCTGCCCTAAACGAATCGGTTATGATTTGTGGCTCATCCCCTTTGCCGCCTCCTCCTTCCCACCACCAGCATGGCATCAGGAGCAATGCCACTCTTCCCACCTTTCAACCCTTTAAGCCACTGTTAATTAAGCCCAAGGCTGGGCTGATTGCCAGGAGCAGATGCTCAG